AGGGAGCTTGGTCTCGATGGAAGAAAGAATTATGGCCTCAGGCAGCAAGAGACTTTCGCCAGAAGTTTCTGGGAGTCAATGATTATACAGAACTTGCTTGAAATTTACTTCTGGCCCTTTTGATCTCGAGGAGAAAACACTAATAAGCTCAGCCAGCAAGATACTCTCGCTGAAACTTTCTGGGTGTCAATGTTTATTCATATTGAAACTTGCTTCAAAAATTTACTTCTGGCCCTTCTACTTTGCAAAAAACCATACTTCTGCCTCTAAAAGTAAAAAAATCACAAAGTGCTCTCGAGGGAAGGACAGACCCATGAGCTTCATCCGACAGGATAGTCTCGCTAAGACGTTTGACCCCCTAGACTTCGCAAAAACCAGTATTTCTGCCCCTAAACGCAGAAAAGCACAGAAAATCCAGTCTCGGGAAGAAAGAATCATGGCTTCAGGCAACAAGGTATTCTCGCCAGAAGTTTATGGGTGTCAATAATCATACAGAAACTTGCTTAAAATTTACTTCTGGCCATTCTACTTTGCAAAAACTACACTTCTTCCTCTAAAAGCAAAACTGTACAGAAAGCTTGGTCTCGAAAAAATGGCAGAACCATGAGGCTTCATGCGACAAACATTTTCGCTAGGGCGTCTGACCTCCTAGACTTCGCAAAAACCAGCGCTTCTGCCCCTAAAAGCAGAAAAGCACAGGGAATTTAGTCTCTAGGGAGAGACAGACCCATGAGTTTCATCCGACAGGACATTTTCACAGAAACTTTCGGCCCCTTCTACTTCGCAAAAACCAGTACTTCTGCCCTGAAAGCAGAAAACACAGGGATTTAGTCTCTAGGGAGAGACAGACCCATGAGTTTCATCCGACAGGACATTTTCTAAGACTTTTGACTCCCAAACTTCGCAAAAAACCATAAAACTCAAAAACCACACTTCTGGCCCAAAAAACAAAAAAGCACAAGGAGCTTAGTCTCGAGAGTAAGGATTATGGCCTCAGGCAACAAGATGTTTTCGCCAGAAGTTTCTGGTTGTCGATGTTTCATTATACAGAAACTTGTTTGAAATTCGTGGCCATTCTACTCTGCAAAATCCATACTTCTACCCCTAAAAACAAAACAGCACAGATAGCTTGGTTTCGAGGAAAAGACACTCATAAGCTCAGCCAGCAAGATATTTTCGCTGAAAAGTTCTGGGTGTCAATGTGTATTCTACAAAAACTTGTTTAAAATTCACTTGTGGCTATTCCACTCTGCAAAAACCAGACTTCTGCCTCTGACAGAAGAGTGGTCTCGAGGAAAAGACAGACCGGGAGACGGTCAAGAGGTGCGATTTTTCTGGCTGTCACCAACTTAAAACTTCAGTTTCTCGCTATGGGAGTGTTCAAAAAGTGTCGGACAAAGTCCATCGGCTTACTAGCTGTTTGAAGTAACCATTTGATAAGTTCGACGACTTTTGCTAGAAAACTGACCGAAATAGTTACAAAATTGCTATAAACTGCATTTTCATGGGTTTTTGACCTTCAACAATTTTGTTTTGAATCGCTTTCAAAATGATAAGATCGAAGAATTCCTGCAATTCTCTAATGTACTTCTTTTGAAATTTCAAATAATCCTGGAACTTCGTAAAACACAAGTATGTGCTATATACTGCCCATCTGGTAATAAGGAATCGCGCCTCTTGACATGCATCCAAACAGACACGTGAGCTTCTTGCGACAGGAAATCATCTTTGCTGAAAATTCTGGCCTTCTGAACTTTGCAAAAACCACACTTTTGTCCCTAGAAGCAAAAAACAGGGAGCTTGGTCTCGAGGGAAGAAAAGACTCAGGGCTCGGGCAGCAAGATAATTGCGCTAAAAGTTTTTAGGTGTCAATATTTGATTATACAGAAACTTGCTGGAAAAATTACCCTTCTTCTCAACCATACTTCCGCTAAAAGCGGGAGCATAAGGAGCTTGGTTTTGAGGGAAGGAAAGAACTAGGGTTTTATACGACAGGACAGTTTCGGTAAGGGCCGCATGCACTAACATCCCCGCGGGGAGGGGATCGCAGCTTAAAAGAAAGCTTTATATTTCGAAAATCCAGATACCTGGATTTCACGTTGTGTGCTTATCCGTAAGTATTCCTACTACCCTTCACTATGAACATGTTGAAGAGGAGCGAGAAGCTGTACGAACCGCATTTTTCAGCTTTTGTATGATCCCTGATGATCCCCGGCGCTTTTCTTTGAAGTCATTTTCTTTCTCCGAAGTTAACGAAAACCTTCCAAAGTTGTACTGAACATCTAACACAACAGTGCTAAGCATGTTGCTGATGAGAACAAATGAGTTTTTGAGAAGTCAAATTTTTCGGCAAACCTCAAATCTCGACCTGTGGATCATCGAAAATTTTATGACTTCAAAACATCATTTGTTCTTATCAGCAACATGCTTAGCACTGTCGGGTTAGATAATCTGCACAACTTTGGAGGTTATTCGTTAACTTCGGAGAAAGACAAATGACTTCAAAGAAAGGCGCCAGGGATCATCAGGGATCATACAAAAGCTGGAAAATGCGGTTCGTACAGCTTCTCGCTCCTCTTCAACCTGTTCATAGTGAAGGGTAGTAGGAATACTTACGGATAGGTACACAACGTGAAATCCAGGTATCTAGAGTTTCGAAATATAAAGCTTTCTTTTAGGCTGCGATCCCCTCCCCGCGAGGATGTTAGTGCATGCGGCCCTAAGATTGTCCTTCAAAAGAAGGCGCTGGGCCAGCTTCTGTTCAAGAAATGAGCCCGTTCACTGGCAAGACATCATCGAAGAAAATGCTGCTTCGTTTTTACCGACATATCTGAGTTTTTGGCTGCTGGAAGACATAAATTGACGCTTCCTTTAACATGGCACTTTCCTGGAAATCAATCGGAGTTTTGGCTGCTGCTCTAAACAGGTGCTTCGAGTAGCTTCCTTGTTTAAGAGCTGTGGTATCTGGGCAAAGGTATGTGCAAGAAAACAGCAAAGATGCTTTGCGCATAGTCAGTGGTAGTAGCTTCTTTTCCTAAGAGCATAGTGTTTTGTTTCTACTACTCACAACATGCGAAAGGTCGCTGGGAAGATGAAAATTCTCTTTCTTGGGATTTTAGTTAATTAATGGCAGATATCAATGTATCTGCCCCCACCCACCTACTAGCGACCCGTAGGGTCGCTAGTCTTATATATAAAGCTGAATGTCTGTTTGTATGTATGTCTGTCTGTCTGTATGTCTGTCTGTCTGTGTGTACGTATGTTCCGAATAGAAAATTCCATTTCTGAACCGATCCGGACCAAACTTGGCACACATACACTACGGGCCCCGGCGGGTGTCATAGGCTACTTTTCGTCATCGATCGATATCGATTTTATCGATTTTTATCGATTTTTTTGCAGAGTTCACCTACGGGGCTGGGAGTTGGCACAGGGGGGTAAGTGAGCATGGGGATTCCGAATACAATATTGGTTTTCAGGATTATCGATTACTTTTATCGATTTTATCGATTTTTTTGCAAAGTTTGAGCTAGGGGGCTGGGAGTTGGCACAGGGGGGTAATCGAGCATGCTGATCATCCCCAAGGGGGGTGATCAGCATGCTCGAACACCCCTGTGCCAAATTCCAGCCCCCTAGCTCAAATTTTCAAAAAATCGATAAAATCGATAAAAGTAATGGACGATCTTGAAAACTAATATTGTATTCGTAATCTGCACGCTCGATTACCCTCTGTGCAAACTCCCAGCCCCGCAGGTCAAACTTTGCAAAAAAATCGATAAAATCGTAAAAGTAATGGACGATCCTGAAAACTAATATTGTATTCGGAATCCCCATGCTCACTTCCCCCCTGTGCCAACTCCTAGCCCTGTAGGTGAACTCTGCCAAAAAATCGATAAAATCAATAAAAGCAATCGATAATTCTGAAAACTAATATTGTATTCGGAAACCCCATGCTCACTTCCCCCTGTGCCAACTCCTAACCCCTAGGTGAACTCTGCCAAAAAATCGATAAAAATCGGTAAAATCGACATCGATCGATAACGAAAAGTGGACTGTGACACCCGCCGGGGCCCGAAGTGTATGTGTGCCAAGTTTGGTCCGGATACGGCGGAGCCGGGTAAGCCAGCTAGTATGCTATAAATAATTTCACGAATTTTTCATATTTTTGCGACGGAAATTTGGGCCCGTAGTAAAGCCCGCACTCAGCTCTAAACTGACAAGAGTGGCTTTCTAGTGTCAAAGTGGTTTTTTACATATGACATCTATATCACTTGCGGAACGATCCCACGTTATGGATGTTCGAAAGTTCAAATTTGTCATGCTATAATTGGCACAAACTTAGCGAAAAACACACAAAAACAGCTGAAAGTAGGTAATCAAATTCGTAACAAGTATGCTGACTACAAGAAAAGAACACAGCCTTTGGAAATCCGCAGGTGTTTTGTACAACTTTTCGCTAACTTTATGTCATTAGGCTTTATAGATTTATACTTTCAGAACTTCCATCCGCAGAGCTGTTCCGCAGAAAAGAAAGACAAATTCGGAATTAGCGTTCAATGCTCTACAAGGTGAGATGGACGTCATATGGAGAAACCACTTTAAAAAGTCTCCTGTGGAAATAACCCCGAAGAACTTTCCAAATTGAACTTAAGATCGCCTACCTACCAAGATGGCAAGTCAGTCTCAAGACCATCCGGTCAAGTACCAGGGTCAGTTCAACCTGATACGAGGAAAGGGGAATCTGGTTCTACCCCCCCCCCCCTCTCTCATCGCACCTCTTGTGGTGGCAGATTTGCAGGGGGATGGATCGTCTTCAAGGGACTTGTGCCTGCTTAACGCTTAACCCCGCTCAAATTAGCAGTTGCAGAAAAAAATCATTTCTCCACATACAAAAAAAAATAAAAGGTGTATTTATTTCGCTTTTGCCAAGAATATCTTAGCGTATGCATACAATATCAATGCAGCAGATTGTGCCACCTTCTTAAACATCTGAGTGTATCACAACAACGAAATGATCATGGAAACGAAGTTTTAATGCCTATATGAAACGTCTACCTATATTCTTACATCTTGAACATGTTGAACTATATTCATACATCTCAGAGACAGATTATAATGCATCACATATCGCAGTAGAAAGTAATAAATATATGAAAATAAGGCACTTTCGGCTATTGAACAACTGCTCATCAATGAGTTACAAATCCACCACAATTGATACAACAACAAAGATGCACATTTTGGTAATAATGTGAGGAGGCACTCGCGATACCAACAGGTAGAGAGGGGACGCCGATACAAAAGCGAGCAAATGGTGCATCGAATCACGATCAGCTGATATGTGGACTAGAACAGACAGACAAGTCTATCAACAAATTCAAAATTGAAGAACACCGGAGAGCTACAGACTTCACAACACCCGAAATCACAGAAAATACCATTTGAAGATAGCTTTGATGCTCAGCTCATGTTAATTATTTCAATTACAAGCATACATGGAAAGCACACTGAATACATGGTGCATTAGATTTCAAATAGGAAATCTGTATTCAACGGTGGTCGCAACGTGTCCCTCCGAGGGGAAACATTATCATGTTCGCCCGCAAGAATTCAATATCTGGTAACTGGTCATGTAAAGCCCTTGCATCTAAGGAGAGTTCGGACGGAGGTCGGCTTGCTTTGCCTTCAGACTTTGAAGCCATTAGCACGTCCAGCACGGATCTGTAGCAAATAAATGTTTATGAACGACTATCAAATTCCAAACAGGCTCAAGATATCTGGATTGTTCAGGTCTGACCATTACAGTTTCTGGTACCACATCTGGGATCGCGTGTATCGTATGCTTTACAAAGACAACCAGTGGCCCCAGGGGCCCTCGCAATGTGGTAAGAACTTTGTCACATCTATGCTCGCGCGCTGGATCAATGTGACCACTCTGATGGTAGCAACAGTTCCTTCCCGATTAGCATACTGCGCGTTACCATACTTTGCTCATTATATGGCCGATTATTGTAGTTGTGACAAATTAGAAAATTTTCTTGTGATTAATGGACGATATTGAAAAAAGTATAACGATAAAGGACTCAGCGTCTTCAATCCCCTCTGCGGACATGTGTCGCTCGCATTCTATCTGAGAGCCGAGAGGCAGTGTTAGGTGCCAGAGTAAGCGAATATTTTGTTCAGCTTCGTTCAGCTGCAGAAGGCGCGCAGAATTAATGTCTGGTGCATAATCTCTAAGGTGGAGGAACGAACACCTCAGTTAGGCACCGCCTCTGCGGACCACTGGTCCCAACACGATGCACAACAGTAGGACGAAAGGACCAGCAGCCCGCGGAGGCGATGCCTAATTGAGGCGTTCGTTCCTCTATCCTAATCTCTACTGCTGCCAGGGGGGTGGGGGACTATATGTCGCCGAATTTGGAAGAGTCCCGCGCGGATTCCCTGCAGGAACGCATGTCCGCGCATGTACAAGAGTGCGTATTTGTCGCAAATGACCGTGGGGACCGCCCTTTTTCGGCGACATATAGTCCTCTACCCCTGCCAGGGCCTGCTTCAGCTGCAGGTCCCGCGCAGAATCAACGTTAATTCTGTGCGCCTTTTGCAGCTGAACGAAGCTGAACAAAATATTCGCTTACTCTGGCACCTACCTGTGATGCGTGCGAAGCTTCAATAAATGCGGGGTCAGCCAATTACCACGCTTCAATTCTTCCAAATTACTCTGCCAAGATTTTAACGTGCACTGGGGGTTAAATGGCTTGGTGGCTCAGGTCTGGGATAGTTGGTCCATTCTGGTCACAGCGGCGCCTCATACCACTAACCTCTCGCGCTAAGAGAAATTCCGGGTGAGTGCACGAATTATCGTAAAAGTTTGATGAGGAACTGTTGTCGGACAGAAAATAGCCCTAAGAAGATACTACACTTCTGCACTGCCATGCAGGTTCAGCGGCGAAAGATGCTCATAACGCAGTCAGACTTACTTCCGAATACTCTAACAGCACTGGTTTAAGCCTTTCAAATTTACACGACCGCTGAGTACTGACATCTGACTCATCATGAATGACCATGGTCACCCAATATACTTAACATCTGTACGACTGAGCGCTTTCATAAACTATCCTCACATTTCTTATGCTCACATGTTCCGCGCTAGCCTAAAAGTGCCAACACACTGCGCGCAATGTGTAGGAAAGATGAGAAATGCGAAGAGAGATTAAAAAGCTTGGGCGCTTTTGTGCTTTTTGAGCTTCTGGGCGCTTTCGAGCGCGAAATCTGACGTGTGCCTTGTTGTAAGAAAACTTTTGAACACCGGGTAAGCTATCCTGGTCAAAATCTTTGGATGAAAAATGGTAAACAGTATAAGCCGCATGTTACACAATCCACTAAGAAAATAGAAATATGATTATGGTAGAAAAGGAGAATAAAAACTTACGGCTGATTTGCTGGCTTCTTCAGCGACTGCGTTGATGAATTCAATAGTCCTAATTGATCTAGTTCCTTTTGCAAAGTTGATATTGTAGACATATTAGTACCGCTATTTGCGGAAAAATAGTCAACATCAAGCAACGCCGAAGAACGATCTAAAAGGGGGAAACAATCAGAAAATGAGAGCCTTTCATAACGAATTGACTTACTGGCTGCATTCGTCGGATTAGTCAATCCCGACTTATCCCAGTCAAAATCGGCTTGAGGAATTGTAGGTGACTCAACAATGGGAGAGGTTCTAGGCTGAGATGGCTTTGAGGGTGCATCCGATGCACGAACCTTGGCATCACGGGCTCCTTCTTCTCGCGAGATAATTACAGATCGACGTCTAAATTGTGTTCATTGAACCCCGGCATATCAAGCGCTAAATAAATGCAGGTAAAGAAAGAACGATATTTACCTAAATCAACTATCTAGTAAGGTTATTTAAGTTTGATGAAGCTGAGCCAAGGTGGTAGACTAAGAAGCTATAGCTTACGTTTATTATTTGTATATTTGAGTTCCTTCTTCAAATTCAGGATAGCAATTATAGTTTCAGTGAAAGAAACGCTAATCGCGGCCACTGACGCTCACTATGCGGAAGATGGTGGTAGAAGTAAATCGAGCTGACCCTAGCAGGATACATAAGCTACTGCTTTTTCTCTTTTCTTTACCACTTCATAGCTTGATTGAATTTACGAAAGAACAAATAACATGGATTTGAATTTCAGACTGAATGCAGAACAACCAGTGTAAAGCATTTCCAAATTTCATTTCTCACTAGATTCCTGAGGAAATGTTTTTTTTTTTCAACTAGTGATTCAGCCGCTTCTAAACTAAGGCTCATTGACTGATAGTAAGAACGGGCTTTAGATCTTGACACCATACATTCAAAATGTATCATGTATGCAAAAACTAAAAGGAACATTCTAGACACCGAGTGAAAGCCTCCAGACATATTCAAAGCCACCAAAAACACTTGACCACCCAAAATCAGGGCGACAAATTGGAAATCTAAGCAACCCCGTCACACCCACTTTCATCAGAACCGAATCAGTATCTTTGCACCGTAATAAAGAACAGTCATTTTACACCAAATCACTGAAAATTGACTTCGTTCCTCATCGTCAACCAATAAAAGCTTCACAATTCCCTTAAATGTAAAAAAAAAAAGAAGGAAGCAAAGCAATAAAGAAGAAAAGCCTCAAATTTACACATGAAAAATACTTACGTTGTTCCATTTGCAGTAAATGGTGTTGGTTCAAGCACAGTTGAAGTAGAAAGAGGAGGCAAAGATCCACGTCCAGCAATCTTCTGAAAAGTTCGGATTAGGAACTGGAGCATGCCAGTCCTATGAGGAAATCTCACCGGGTCAACTCTGAGCGCTTTGTATAGATTTTCACCGTGTTCGGAGCCTTTCCATTCAAACTTCAAAGCCAATGCGTCTTCGACAATCCGCAAAGCAAACCAAAGATCAAAACTCCTACAAGAAAAACGTCTTATAAAATGAGCCTCAAAACGGATAGGACGAACCGGCGAGTGGAAATCAAATCAGGACTAGAATCGCTTTCAGCTTTCGGAGGTTCATCAGCGTCAAGCACGGCATTAAGGTCATGCGCCTGAACAGAAAGACTTCATGAATTTGGACCACGTAGAAGAAAAAAACAAGAATACCTCATCACCGCCTATTTCGCTTTCCACATTCCAAAGATCAAGTGAGTCAAACAGTTCATCCAAGACCGGACATAAACTAGATGTGTTCTCGTCAAAGCCAAATTGATCACCATTTTTGGAGTCTTGGACGACGGCAGCATCTTGGAAATCTGCGGGCCAGTCGTTGTCTGCAAACAGCACTAGCGATAAAAATTACGACGATGAAAATCAAAACACACCTTCTGCCGCATTACTTTGGTCAAAAGCATTCCAACCGTCTGACTGATTCGTATTTTCCGTTTGCACCTTCAAAAAAGAAATATTAGCCATCAAAATAATTTGCGAGAGACAAATATCGATACAAATGCAATCAAACGCTTACGCTCCAAAACAAGCAATTCATATCATATTTGGTCCGATTAGTCCTGCTGAGGACTCTTTCTATTGTTGGGTTGACATATAGGTTAAAAAAGACTTCAAACGTTTTAAAGAGAGCAAACTGCCGGTCTCTTCAACACATCAAATAACTCCGGATTCGAGTAACGCCTAACAACGCACAGACTGACACATGTTGAAAAGTCTATGAAAAGCAGGCGCAATCTAGTGTACCGCCAACACTTGATTTAGTCTATAAGGATTCTCCTCGCCTCAAAGAAATTAACCCAAAAGTATCAGCAAGAGAGTGTGCGTATAGAGACTAAACGACGAAGAAAATCATGTTCAGTTCGTGCGCTGAATTAAGCAAAAAACATGTCAAGAACTCCCTTGCACTTCTCTAGCATTAAACTCGCCCGAAAGCCACGTGCATACCTGATTCTCCTCATCATCGTTCCTTTCAAAAGCGTTCCATTCGAAACCTGCTCGCTCAACTTTTTCCATCGGCTCAGCATGTGAATCTAGAAGGTTTGTTTCGATGTTATCATCCTTGTAGTGTCAACTCAACGCAATTTGCTTGCTGAACACTCGATTTTAGATTGCCTTCATTCAAAGAGAAAATTTTGCTGTAAGCAGTGTCCAGGAAAATTCACTCAAGATCCCTGAGCTTCAAAGGATCAAGAGAATCGCATTGATGAAATCTACTACTAACTCTTTACTTTATGTAAGCCTCGAGCGTCAATTCTACGCACTGTCAAGCAAGGAAATTGTATAAAATTAACTGCAGAAGGTACCTACCATCCCCATTCCTCTCTGCGTCTCCATCAACACCAGCAAAATCGCCAAAATCATCAAAATCGTCTTCTTCTTCGCTTTATTTATAGCAACAGGCGAGCCCTTTTCTTGATCTTGTGAGACATGTCCCACATTGCTGTCCGTTTCCTCGACAACCTCGCGACTGTGGCTTTGATCCTCAGTGGGAGGAACGTACGAAGTAGCCGACTCTACAGCTTCCCGGGATTCTTCCGAACTTTCTTTACTGTCCGTTGTGGGTGAGATGGACTGCCGCAAATCATTCACTTCCAAGTTATCATCATTGGGCGCTTGTGAATCTAAATACGAATTGTTGGCAGTAACATAAACAGAAATTATGTGACCTACCTCCATTTTCAATAATCCCGTTTACCTCCGGCAGAGGATTGTCCTTCGAAACTTGTGGTGGAGGAGTGGGTGATTTGGGTTCAGGCGATTTCCTCTTCGCCACAGAAATTACCGGCGGTAAACTTGGTGGAGACGAGGAACAAGGGAGGTCGATAGGAATGTCTGCTTGACTGGCCACCTCATCATCGTCGTCGACGGTCAATCGAGCATCCAATTCCACATCTGGAGGCTCGTCTAATGCTCCTGTGAAAGGTGGTGGAGCCTCAAAGTCCATCTGTAATCAATGCTGTATTATGTCCACATCGATTGTGAGACAACAACGGGAGCCGAGTAAACAAAGATAAATGATCACTGCAACAGACGCTGCTGATAATGACGACTGCGGCACCATTTAGATAAAAATTCCTACAAGACTTTGACTGGCGCAGAAAAGATGAAGAATCTTCTGCAGCTGTAACTTCTGCAGCTCCAGAGTTTGGCAGGAATTATGGGTAGGGGATACAAAATACAGCAAGACTGAAGATAAAGGCAGTGTGGGACTATAGGGCCAAAAAACCATGAAAAAAGATTTAGACACCCATGAAAAGCCAGAACCAATCCAAAATGTACGAACTATCATGTGCCACCGTCTGAAAATATAAGCTTCAAAAGATAAGCAATACAATCTCCTCTTACAAGAGAAAAAAACGTAAAAAACCTCACAACTTCAGAAATTTTGACAGCTGAATAACACTTGCATGCACGTCTCGAATTGCTTTGAGAAAGTGAGCAAAGCTGCACCTTAACCAAGTCTTCGTAAGCTCGAAAACAGCAAATTGCAGCATTTGAGGTGTGCGACGGAAAATATGCACAAATACGTTCAATAGACGCCTATAACTCCCTGACAACGGGCTTCCTCTTGCCACGCCCTTTTTGCAAAGATCGCATGCCTATACATCCACGAGCATGCGCCAGTCGATTGACGAGAAGCTGCCAGCTCCAGCTTCCAGCAAAAAAATCCATGCCATTGTTTAGCAGACTCTACTTCTTCTACTTCTTTCGTTTCTTACCGATATTTGTACTTATTTTGAGAAGGATTCTAGACTTTTTGAAAAGAACGCATTCAGGAAGTAAGAGGAAACGAAGAGTAAGGAGATTGTTCTTGACATACTCTGTCTTTATAATTCTTTTTCGCTGCTCTCCTTCTTCTACCCTGGCTCAGTGATCTATGCGACTGAACAGTGATGTCCAATTGAATCCCAAAGCAAACTGATGTAGACCAATCGAACTTTCAAATGCACTCTCGAAAATGCAAACAATCCTGCGAAGCCTCGCTATATTTGTCCACACTTTGAAAATGCGATATGCAATAAAATTTATGAGAAATCCATTTTCGAAGGGACTGCAACTAACTCTACAGGATTTGAATTATTCTATTTTTTAATTATCCATATGAGAAGAGTTCTAAAAATCTCAAAATATAATATTCTACAAAATTATACCGACTGCATCAATAATAGATCCATCGTGCATTTCCACATCGAATTCAACTGCTGAGGCCAAGCATGAATTTTGCGCTCAAACTGAGTAAACATTGAGACACATAAATATCCTATTTTGGCAATCAGGTGAATCATCCAGACGCGGACTGCCAAAATAGATAGCATAATGTGGCAAAGTGCAAGGGATTTCATTGCCAAAACGTTTTGGATAAACGTATTTTTGCTTCATATGTATCAAATGTCCTTTGCCTGCTATTTGAGATTGAATGCCGGACTCGGGCGATCGAAATGATGTACGGTGCAAAGCAGCAAGTTCTTCGAATTTGAAGGAGCAATTTCGAAAATGTTTTGATCCTCCCAAGCTATAGTATAAGAATTATTGAGAAAGGTTCTAGCCGAAATTCATGGAAATTTAGTTGATACAAAGCAAGTTATTAGCTCTTCATGTAAGAGTAACTGAAAAAAAGTTTTAGCCAAAATTCATGGAAATTTTCTAGCTAATTCCAAGGAAGCTTACTCCTATAATTCTTTAGTAACAGTTAAAAATGAACAATCTTCTTTTACTGCGTGTGAATTTCATAAGGATCTTCAAACGTGGACAACTAAACCAGTGACAAAAATCCAGCTCACTGATCATTGAATTCACCTTGTGACTTTCCATTTCTCTAACCTAACAAACTCCCCTGTCTCAAGTTTTGCATCAAGCTGCAGCGCACGATGTTTGGTTCACTAACCAACGAAAGCTTTTGAGTTCTCCAAAAACTAGTGCCGAGTGATTTTTGATCCTTTGTGTTTGCAAGCGAGACACCTCCTTGATATGCGTGGTTTGTTATCGACAAAGCACCTCATCTCGCTTAACTAGCTAGTAATTAGCTCGTCATTTACCTCTTCTTCCCTGCTTCGTTTACGAGAAGAGAATTGCGTAACTAACGTAGCCACGTGTTCTGCATGCTTTGAGATTCTTATCTTTCTTATCATGCCGTTTTTTATTTTAATAATCATAAAGTTTTGACGAAGTAATCCCAATCATCAAGAAGATGTCAACAAACGAATAATGAGAAAAAAATGAGGAATAGAACTTTTTTCTATCATAGGCTGTACGAATCGTGCTGGCAGCAAAGTAAGGCTCTGGCCATACTTTATCCGTGTTACCTGTGTTACTGGTTTCCCAGTGTTACTCGTGTTACGCGTGTTATTAGTGTCACTCGTGTTACTGGTGTTATTAGTGTTACCGCTTTTATTGCTGTTGAATAGTGAAATGATCACAATACAGTCTCATTTTAGAACGCAATATCCTTGACTGGTGAGTAACACTAGTAACACGGGTAACACTGGTAACACGGGTGACACGGGTAAAATATGGCCAAAACCTAAAGAATGATAAAACGCGTATTCGGACGATACGTAGCAACAAAAAGCGAAATGATACTTTGTCAAAATTGCAAGAAGTTTTGGCTTTTGAGAAGGAATTTGCATGCTATACAACTTTTCTGAGTTCTCTACTTACTGATAGCATATTAAGGTGCGGAAGTTTCAAAAATTTGAATTTGAAATTGACAAGGCTGGTCAATAAAATGGGGCGCTCGAAGTGAAAAGCAAAGAATCCTTCATTCTTTGAATTCAGTCTTGTTAACATGATAAGCAACTTCCTTCAACGTTAGAAACAGTACTCCGATGACGGAAAGCTCCCAAGACAAGCCAAAGTGAACAAAAGCGAAACTGTCACTGCGTGGGCGCGGTTATGCCGGCCGTCGATCAAGCCCATATCGATCGATGACTGGTTCAGGGCGAGTGACGTCATTCACTGCGGCAGCACGACAGTTCGGGCAAGCCCTTTGTAGTCTGGAATATCGTATTATGCTAGAAAATAGCGCTGTGACAGCCGCAATTAAAATGTGGCGTGCGATTAGGATTGAGATTGATGATAGCCTGCAACGGGGGCAAGCTGTCATCAGTTAACCGCTGATTGTAACAGTTGGGCTGATCTCATCTGTAAGTTTCTTACATCGTCTGAGCTTCGCTGGAAAAGTTTGGTTTTGATTTGAAGTTGTGCTTGTGGCGGAAAAGATTTACATCCGATCGCGGGAATATTGCAGCATTATTCCATTTCAGGAAACAAGAGATGGAACTTTCTGAATACCCCCAAAACTTGGAACGGGGGGGGGGGAAGGGTATTTGACAGACCTATAAAGTGAAATTATGCCACCTTCACATGTCCAGTCAAACTAGTACTTTTCCACTTCCTCGTTATTGTCCGCGAGGAAATGCACCTAATGTTTTGAAATTCACATATATCGTTCTGGTCTGTTTCGGCGATTTGTGCACATTTAGCATCATCTAGAAAGATTCTCAATTTCATTTGAAAAGGTTTAGAGATCACCATTTTTAGATAGTGCAGATCTCTCGAATTTGTCCATCTATGGCCATGGTTAGAAATATCGAAATAGCATGTGTGCGTACCATTCATGCCTCCTCCCTCCCCTCAGTTTCAGTTTGTTGGAAGATGATTCTCTTGGAATCTGACGAAAAGCTTACTTCTCTGCTTTCCTGATTTCATCATCAAGAAAAAAATTGTTGAGCAAATAAATTTGACCCGATCCTCCTGAATTTATTCTTTCCAACTACCGTGCAATCATGAATTTATCTGTGACATCTCCACAAATTTGAAAGGGACCAAAATTATTTCCTAGTCAACCTAATCTAACCTTTGATTTAAGTGGCTTGGCAGTTAGGGCGAGCTTTGTGACCCAATCACGGCTGCTCGCGCCCGCGACGCAGTCTGCGTCTCTCCCGCGCACGTGCTCTCTGACCATTACCAAGCCTTAATTGGGCCACGAAGCCCCGTCTTCCAGTGGCGGCATGTTTGCCTCTCCCTTCGCTTGTACTTTACGTCAAAAAGGACAGTTTGGCTCAGCATGTCCAGAAATTTGAGATAACACCCAAAGCCAGTGTCTGCAGAGGGTGCCTTCAATTCTTTTCGTGGGCGTGGTGTGTTTTCCCAGTTCTTATCTTTTATGGAAATAAATATCTGAGGCTTGACAGCTTTCGAGCTGGTCGAATGCCCTCTGAATGCATTGTTGCCGTTTTACAGAAGACAGTGTAAAGCACATCCTAGACATTGTGTTTTTCGTTATTCTTGAGCATGGGTTCCTCATGGCCAGAATGACAAAAAGCACTAATCCGCAATGGCAATCAATAGAAACGATTTTGAATTTTTCAGAGGTTTTCAACACTTGAAGACATAATGTAAGACTGGCGACTGATGCTCTTGAACCTGCAAAATTCATAGCCGAGCTGAAAGAATGTGAGATAATAAAACTTTAGATTCCCTATCACGCACTTTGCGGCTCATCTTTTAATTTTCAAATTCGCTGGGGGATTTTCATTAATAAATATGAGTTTATCTAGAATCGGCTCGTTTCAGCAATGCTTTTCGCGCTCTGTCCGAGCTAATAAATTACAAATGCTGATGACAAATCAGATTTTCAAAGGTCATTCTACACGTCCCGTAATTGTCTTTTCGAGGGAAAAGCAAACCCCTCCTCAAAATACTTGGGATGCGAACCTTTTTGATAAATGAAGCCGGGAAGAAAGCTAATTTATATGAAAGCTACATTTTGTAAAATCTCTTTTATAAATGAAATGCTTCGGGGTTGGTACTGCTATCCGCTAGAGATTTCCTAAAGTACGTTGAATGTACGAAGTTTTGACTAATTTTTTAGAAAAGGGGCATATTTTACTGTAACCAGTTTTGTTTTATTTTCACATTTTTTAAATGAGAAAGGGTGATGGCAATTTTTTCTCAAATGGACGGCCATAGCTTCGGTTACACTATCTTATTTTTAAGGAGCTCAAGTTTTTTGCCCTTCAGGATTTTTTTTTTCATATAACGATTTGAATCCTGTGAGTGAAGTTCTCAGTCATTTATGAAAAGCTTCTTACATGATTTTAGAAGCGATGTGGACCGCTTTGAAATTTAGAAATCCAGTCTCGGGTTGGGGCCCTACATCAGTTTTTTGCTCTTCGTTCAATATTGTTGTTTATACATTCTGCTAGAACAATGTTACTGAGATCTACACAATTCACAACCGTGAGATGACGCATACAGAAAAACGTGCTCATTCTAATAATCCTGCATTTGTCTACTTATTATTGGGTATTTGCCTGTATTCTTTCTACATACATGTGACTATTACGACTCTTTTCTCATCTTTTTGAATCTTTACCGTATTACCAAGTATAAGTAACTCGTATAGTAACATATCGTCGGGAGAAATCTTCATTTAACTTGAGAGTTTCAACTCAGTACCTTGCAGGTCCTTTCTCATAGCCTGAATCAGCCATTGTGTTTCTTCCTGCATACTGCTTATCTACCATTACGATCTTGGCATTTCTGTGATGTTTGAAGGTATGTTGATTGAAAGTTGCTTAGAAACAAGTTCCACACAGCAGGTAGACCTCAGTTATGCGAAGTCATTGTCTGTGCTTGTAAAAACAAAAGATGGGACCTTTGAATGCTGCAATTATGACATTACGGTTTTGAGAATAAATCGAGTAAATGGTAAACATAGTCCACGGAAAAATTTACATTAAAGTGTACACAACTGACAAAACGAATGGTATGTGGCGTTTCCATAGCTGAGCACCAATATACAGGATTTTCCCAAAAAATGTGCCTACTGTTTGATTGTCAATTACTCTCTTGTAATGAAGTCTTTCAAGAAGCTTTGAGTCTAGTTTTGTAGGGCTGGCTTCAACTTAGATTTACAGTATAGAGCGTATCACCGATCACTCTTCGTTACTGTAGGATTACGGTAGAATCTCCAAGTATGTATCTGGTGACATTGCGGAAAAAGCTGCCGTTTCAAGATTTTTCAAAAAAATGTGAAAATTTGTGTAATAGGGTTTTCGTGGACGCTGAGTTCAATCTCAAGTATGTGCAAGATGGTGCAACTTTTTGAACGGTGTAACTGCACGTTTTAGGAACATTGAAAAAACGGCTGCTACTGCTTACCTCGCATAACTTTCTGATGAAGCATCATGATAAGTTGCGAACCTCAGCCCAGTGTGAAAGTTTCCAGACTGCTTTATTCCTTTCTGAGGCAAAATAGGCCATTGATGACTTAAAACCCTCTTTGAACTTCCTACCGTAATCCCACAGTAATGAAAAGAGATGAGTGATTCTCTCTATGTTGTAATCTAAGTTGAAGCTAGCTCTACAAAATGGTACTCAATGCTTCTCTAAAGAGTTCACTACAAAAGAGTTATTAACAGTCAAACAGTAGGCACATTTTTGGGACACCCTATGTTTAGCTGTGTTTTATTTGTGGTAAGAAGCCGAGCTAATGTTTGAATCACTTGCGATTGTGTTAACTTCTCGTCTCGTTTTCTTCTCGGCTGCAAAACTTACTAGCCATCAGCTGGCAAGGCTTTTGATAATCTTCTGTTGCCAATTTCTTACAAAGCTTAAAGCATTTTGAAAGCTAAGTGCTAGTGGGAAGGATTATCTCACTATACTAATGCGATTGCGCAGACATCTGGAAACATTTGAAACTTTCAACTTGCACATTCAAACAGATTCCTCGAAATAATGTGGCTGGAAGTAATATGCATGTTTACTGTGAGATGTTTTTGTGCATGAAATTGGAGCAAATTACTGTTGACGTTGTTCGTTCCCAGTATTTGTATTCACTATCTAGATTCAATTTTTGCTTCCTGAGACTCGTTGGTGGTAACTAGTTATTGCTTACCTAGCTCTTCTTCCAACAAGCAACACTTGGGTCATGGCTTTTTTCCTAAGATTTTGCGAACTTCAGGATAGTCACAACCATTGAATTTTGTCACCAAACTCTTATTCTTGTTGAGGGTAGATCTGAATCTTGCAAAAATCAATATGATATTGCGTTTGTTTGGTCTGATTATTGAATAATCGATGAAAATTGGTGCCACATAAAATTGACGTATCGTTTACAGCAAAAGTCTGAGATCTAAAATCGGCAACACTTTCTCTCCCATGCAATTAGCATCTCCGCTATTTTACTTTGCACCTGGAGAAATCGTAGTGGATGGACAAGCGCTTCTCAGATTAGTCGTTGATGTTTGTACAAATCTTCATAAACTAAGCTTATTTATTTCGTTGTGCTTCATATACTAAGTCATTCTGAAAGTCTTCCCGTTTATCACCCACTCCTGTACCAATGTATGGAAGGGAAAGCTGTGCACTCTTTTTTTTAGAAATCTGCTAAAGTCGATTACTCTCTTCCTAGTTAAACGCCTTGCTGAAGATGGTCATTAACATTTTCACAACCTCCAATATCACTGTAATTCGTGATAATGACCCGATGAGGTTCTAAAAATTACAGAGTCTGTAACGTACGGCGAAAAGGTCAAAAATCGTGGATTTTTTTAGAGCCAGATAATCATTTTCTTCACAATAGCAAGAGAAAAACTGCTTCTCGACAAATGTATCAAGGTTTTTAGGAGTAAGTTATATATCAGGGTATTCAAAGAGTTCTGCCAATTCTTTTCAAAAATACCAAAAGTATTGGGGTCCCGAAAGTTCGTTCGCACCATTTTCAAAAATTTATAACATCTGATTTTCTAACCGTTTCAACTGCTTTTATTTTTATGTGAAAGAGCACACATGCTCTTTACAATGGTACATTAGCTACTTACCAATGTTTATCTGTTGCATAGATAGGGGCGGTAGAAGAAAATTAGTCAAATTTTGAATTTTCTATGTAGGGTCATAAAAAATTGCAGCAAAAATCGGAGCACGCGGTAATGTAGGCTACGTTGCCTGCTCTTTCTAAGGGCCGCATGCACTAACATCCCTGCGGCGAGGGGAGCGGCGTCCCCAATGATGAAAAAGCCGCAGCGGCGTCCGCACGCGGTCCCTTCATAACGGGGGACGCCGCTCCCCTCGCCGCAAAAATGTTTGTGCATACGGGCCTAAATGTGCAGAGGTACTGATTGAACATCTCTATGGAAAGTTATGATTTTCGAGCAAGCAATACAAAAGGGCGAATTTGATTTATTTTGGCATTCTCGAAAATCATAACATTTAATAGGGGCTTTCAATCAGCACAAACTTTGCACGGTTAGAAAGAATAGGTAATAGAACTTATATGTTACACAGAGAATTCAAATTTTAAATAATTTTCTTCTACCGCTCCTATCTATGCAGCAGATGAACATTGGTAAGTAGGTAAAACATCATTAGAGAGAGAGCATGATATGCTCCTTCACATAAAACTAAAAGCAGTTGAATAGGCTGAAAAAAAAACCATAAATCATGAAGTTTTGAAAATGGTGCGAACGAACTTTCGGGACGACCTAATGGATGCAAATGCACGTCGGTTTTAGATATGTTTTTGGTGTGCAATGGCGCTAGCTATCAAATATGCTGTTCAATTCCAAAAAATAACTATAAACCCAGGGGTTCCAAAATGAACACCCTTTGCGCTAGTTGCGACAAGGCACATTTTTCGGATTGTAGACAGACCGCAGAATTTGCAGGAGCTTGATCTAAAAAAATGCTATACCCTTCTTATTTGTCAGATGAAGCGACATTCAGCCATTTTTTCCACATAAGCGTTTTGAAGCAGAAATAGCTAATATCAGCGCCAGAAATCGAGGTCTTCAACAGTTTCAAAACGCAGTCAGCTCGGTTTTGGGATAAGAGCATCCGAAATGTACCATATCAGTAGTATAAGGTCGTCGGGACCTATGACCAAAATATCGTAGGTAGACGTCCACTTATGATGAAGCTATAGATAGGATTAGCTTAACCTTTTTTGGTAAAAGTTTTCAAATAAAAACATCGCTCCAGAAAGCTTGCAATAGATCTTGCCTCATACGAGTATTCATTGCTGGTTACAACGCCTGCGACTGGAAAAAAATAATTGCTCTGAAAAAAGGAAAATTACCTCTTTCAAACTTCTGGCAATTTTTGGCGCATATTTCGAACTTGGATCTTAGGAAGACGAAGCATAGCTACCATGCTTTTTGAATTCTATTCTGGTCGCAGGTTTGCCGGATATGGCGTACAAAAGTAGACGAAAATAAAAAATCTGTTATTCTAGTTTAGTGCTAGTAATCACGATTGATCGCATAAAATGCTATTATTTGCTGCGAATATGATAGCCTGAAATGGTTACGTGATGTCATATAAACATCGATTCCATTTAGTCGATTTGTTATGAGAAGAGCGGTGAATGTACATTGATGCATGTCTTTCGACCGTACATCCTCGACGCAGTCGTCTTCTAGAGGCTATGGCGCTGTTGCGAGGTCGACGTCGTGAGTTTATCTGCGCTTTCAGCCCATGTCCGAGTTCTAGCAAATACTTTAGAGGTACATTTGATGAGAGAGTTCGAGCCACGGGACTACTGGTTGGAATCTCTGAACATCAATGTCCTCTCGTTTTCCATGAAATCTACGATGTAAAGATGTTTGGCATCGAGAAATGCCACCCATTTGATGCGGGTAAATGGGGCAGAGTGTACGCGAAGTTGAAAGGTATCATTTTGTAGAACTACGAACATGCTACAGATTCTCTTATCATCCTTTTTTCAGAGTGGGAGCTTGTATCCGACGATAGCATAGTCAGACCAGTGGAAGCTACACGGAATGATCTTCTTATTGCTCATACCAAATTGTAAGTTAATACAATTACTTACTAGTTGGCTAATGAATATTTCCTTTTGACGTGCAGATTCGAAGCTATTTGGCAATTCAGGTAGCAGCTACTTAGCTAAGATTTTTTGCGAGAATAGCTTCAAGCCTGAACTTCCTAATATCGAGTAGTCTAGGTTTTCTGTCACCAAAAAATGATAGTCATGCTCTTAAATGGTCAGACTTGCAAAAAATCGCTTTTTATCGAGTTTCTTTCTCAGCCTTTAGTGATTACACAGACAAGTAATTTGGTGATCAAATACAAAAAACCTTTGGCTAAATGGCGAAATACAGCGGAAATCGTGATCTGCTGTTTGTGAACCTCTGCAGCAAGAATGTGGGAATTTCTGGGCACGTGAGCGTGAAAGTAAATTTTTGAGTAATTCAGATCTGACCATGTATGACCATGAAAATGGTTGAAGATTTATAATTTTTTTTGCGTGGATGTCAACTGTACATTTCACCCAACTTCACTTTGTTTTTTGGAGCTTGGAAAAATCTGACTATTTTTCTTCCCTGCACGATTTCGTTATGATAAAAATCTTTAAAAAAAGAGTTGACTACAGTCCTTCTTGACTTGCGCCTTCGAATTTTACCATATATACACAAATTTATCTGTAACATTCTCACAAATCGCTAAAAACGACCGAACATATTTTTTAGCCAATCCAGTAGTATACATGCTTGTTGGCATGCTGTGTTTCGACATTTTTGAGAAAAAAGTCCCTAAAGCGAAGGATGAGGTATCATTCAATAAATCTCGCTACCAAGTGGGGGGCTCGTTTGATAGTACCTCGTCTTAACCTGAACAGAAATTTAGTAAAGTATTTCTGCCTCAAATTTCAAAGTTGATACTGCTTTGCTACAAGACCACATAGTAAGAGAAGAGAACATTTGAGAGCATACCGAGTTCGTTGCTAAGGTCTCGAAAGCTTGAAAATTTTCTAAAAAGATACATCTCAATTTTATTTTATAATGGTTTACTTTGATTGCCTCATATCTACTCAAAAGAAATTGGCTGCATTACGATTTTTCGAGTTCCTGCAACTGTTGAGTAAATATGAATCAATTTCTGCTCAAGGGTCATATCAAACAGCTTTGTCTCACTGTCAGTAATTCGTTCAAGTTTCCTTACTTCTTGTCCTCTTCATTTCATTAAATTATTCAGACATAAGATTCATGTTGAAACAAGTTTCTGGCATAAATTATAAACAAATACCATATCATTTTCGCGTTGTGCGCTACTTCCGAACTTTTTCTATGCACATATGAGAGGATGAGGAATGACACAAAAAAATGTTTGCTGTTAGATACATTTGGCTTCAATAAATTTAAGATGCCGGTTTTTTTCCTTTCGAAATAGAGCAGCAAAACTAAGACATGCCCTTGTCAACTGGCTTCACTCACCCAGGGTCAAGCGTGGGGTGTGGCTTGCCAAACCTGGGGTCATATTGAGGGCTCAAGGAGGGGGATGGGTCGTTATCAAGGTGATTCTGTTGTAAGCCGTAAATGATATTTGTTACATTGTCAAATAGACCCAACATGCAAAATACCAGCGCATTGATGTTTTGGCTCACCCTCATATACGTACAGTAAGCATAATAAAAAATCTATAAAAGCATAAGAGCATCGTTTTTGTAATAAGCATGTCAAATAACCTCTATGGACCAAGTCTCACCGAACTGGTCTCCAAACATCGGGCCACCCTGTGAAGTAGTCATTTTTGAACATGTCACTTTTGTTTTAAAGGTAAGTTAACTGCTTCTTTTTGCACTTATTACAAAGACCTACTACTCATTTGCTCCCGTTAGGAATCCTACTCCAAATAACCTTCAATTTAAGGAGTCAAGAACAAGCGAAAATCCTGTTCTATTTTTCGCTTCTAATATCTCAAATTAGAGAAGACCTATCAGGCTCAAATCAATTTAGTGTAGATTGAGAAGGTTAGGATACATTCTTGTCGCCTTTCCTCGCGTTCCACAGACTTTGCGTGTTTGTAGCCAATATTTTTGTAGTATTTGCCGTTGCATAGGTAAGGAAAAACGTTTATGTTTCCTTAGAAGAAACGATTTCAAGTGAAATTCCTGCTGTGTAAAGAAGAAGGTCAAGAGCAATAGCAGCGATATTAAAGACGCAGGTATCTGAATTGCTTGAAGGTAAGTTAATAGGATGTACAGCCCATGAAAATGTGTGGCAGCCACAGCTTTTTCGGGGTGGTGTCACATTCATTAACTTACCTTCAAAAAGAATGTTAGGGGACAAATTAGGTACAGTTCGATAGCCAAAATCTCCTGTTTTTGTGCAAATGATTAGAGCCAAATTCGCCTTTTTTCTTTTGAGCATTAGTAGCTGGAAGCTCAATGAATGCGAGCGAAAAATGGGACAAACGAGATTTTGGCTGGCTCCTAATTCCATAGTTTGATGTTCATTTGGAGCAGGATTTATGATATAGGCGAATATGGAGTAGTGCTTTGTATTAGGTACAGGTAAAGGTAGCTAATTCATTTTTGAAACATAGTTAGCCATGTTTTGAAAATGGTCACTTCACTTGGGTGTCCCAATACAATATTTGGAACCCTCAAAATTCGCCAAAACTTGACCTACAGGGGTTAGTTGAGATGACAATCACAAATATGTTACTTGTTAGTATGCTTGATAGAATCTTTGAGTCGGAGTAGGCAAATGAAAATGCTGGAGGGAAGGGTATGGAGACAGCACTTAGGAGGGATCGTATCCGCCGGTTGTGCGCCACACCTCTTACTCGACCCTGCTCATCGCCCTTGTATTTCATTCCATAAGGCCTAAGGCATACCTTTCGCGATTTCGCGAAATCGCCACATCCTCGCGACTTGGCGATTTGCCAGATGTCTGGAGATTAAGCATGCGAGGCTCTAAGATGCATGGGTGCGTAGATTCTGTAAATTATAACAAACACAGCAAGTCTGGCCCAAGCAAAGTGCGTTTACGACCAGCTGTGGAGAGTCGTTGCAGTGCCAAATCGCGCGGCGACCAAAATCGCGTGAGGTATGCCTTAGGCCTAAGGGGAATGAGCAACTGATAGCCTGCACAGAAGCTTTTCTAGACCCAGTGTTGTATCAGAAGTGCACATTTGACATAGGAGTATAGATCTGCTTATTGTCCGTGGTAGTCATCGCTTCTTAAAGTAATATATGTCTAATTATCCTGGGTCCCGCACATGTTTATGCTTTTTCGTAATAAAGCACTTGTGCGGCATTTCAATGACTCACCATCTAAAAACACGCAGCAAATAATATTCTGAATTGCAAAGGCGTGATTCGACTCATCAACACTCAATGTTCTCGATGTCTGTCAGCGGAAGTATCAGCTTGTCCCATGATTTCTTTTCAATCTAAACAAAAATTTTTTTCTTCAATTTCATCTCATCAGCGAAGCTATCATCTTCATCAACCCATTGATAGACATTAGTTCATGAGGAAACCATAAATTTCAATGTTTTTCAGGTATCTAGCCAGCTTATACTCTCCTTGCGTTCTAGCCAAAGTAGTCGAAGTTCCTATTGCATGCTTTATTCCTACATGTATCACGGACAAGTACTTTTTGAGACGAATGAGGTTGGTGGTTACGGGACCTTTTTTTGGATTTTGTATACTGAACTGAATGTTTCTCAATATAGATACCAATGCGGTGGCACAGTAGCTGCTTGTCAGATTGCTCTGGAACGTGGCTGGTCCGTACATCTGGGAGGAGGCTTTCATCATGCGCATAGTGGGTTCTTATCAACTAGAAAGGCGCATTTTTAACCAATCTGTTGTATTTAGGAACGTTTGGAGGAGGCTTTTGTGTATATGCTGATATCTCACTTGCTTTGAAGATATTATTTACGTTGAAACTCATTGAAAAGGCTTTAATCGTGGATGTAGACGCGCATCAGGTAAATCAAAATAATCTTATAAAAATCAGCTAAATAGATATTACAGGAGTGAAACAAAATACACGATAGCAATTTTACAATTATGAATGCGTGAGAACAGGCTGAGATGTAATCTAGTAATTCATTTAACTTCATAAATGCTTGAATCTCCGCTTTTTGTATTATATTGACCTTCTTTGTAAAGCATGAAGCAACATATTTGTTGCCATTTTGATGACTAGTGAATGTTTATATCTTCTTAGCGTATATTCACAAAATAGCGCGTTTGGTTCATAGACTAGCGTTTTTTACGCGTGATTGTGATGCAGAATTTCGAGAAACTACCTTAAAATGTCGTGGATGAGTTTGCTAAAGCCCAGGATTTTTAAATTGAAAAGCATACGCAGACATGCAAATCGAATTATTTTTAAAGCTGAAAAATAGAATCTAAGTTTTTGGCAAACTTAATCAACATTTTAGGCTATAGCCAGAAACTATAGTTTCTTGATATCTTGCGTCAAAATCAGGCGTGAAAAGCGCTAGTCTAACATACAAAAGGCTATTTTGTACATCATATGAGGTACAGTAAAATGAACAGCGCTTGAGAATCATCGCAAAGACATTGAATGCCTTGGTTTTCAGTTCAGTCAAGAAAGAATTTGTCCAACGGAGTGCGGCGATTTAAGCAGCCGTAAAATTAGCAAAAAATCACTGGATTACTGCTCAGATTGTCCTCACGCGTCCATAAATGTGGACTTGGCTTGCTTACACTCTAGTTTACATTTATAATGAAGACCCCCCAATTAATTGTCGCAATCCAATCAAATTTGCTTGAATGCACAATTATAAATAAAAAGATGAGGAATTATCAATCACTTTGGAAATTACTTTTGAGTTGAATACTCCAGACATTTGCTTTCCTCTGATCAAGGTAAAAAGCTTAAAAAATCTACGAGAACACAAGGCTAGCTGTATGTCAATCAAAAGCTCTGAAAGAAACTAGCATATACTAAACATATAAAACTTGACGACTTAAGATATTTACTTGTAAAAAAGGCTGAGAAAAGAACCGCTTTAGAACGCTGTGAAGTGTTGGCGCAAAACTAAAAAAAATTCTATAAAGTGGATTTAAACAACAATTTCCTTATCGGTGGAAGAACTTTCCAAGAACTTTGGAACCATGTACAGGCATTGCATACTTTTACTTTTGCAATACAGAAACTATTGATTATGGAAGTAGATGAAAAGTTTCATGAATTCGGATCTATCTATAAGATGTAGATGTAGTAAAAGTCAAACGGTTGACACTCCTTGGGTTGCACTTTTTTACCGGAAGAGCTAGACTTAGTTCATTCAATTCGTTGAAGCTGAAGTGTACAGTTTTGTTTAAAACTTAGTTAAAAAGTTCCGACAAGTGCAACATTCTAATGTTAGATAAGGTCGATACACTTGCATAATCTGAGCCCTGTCTGTATAAGTCTGTTCGTGTCTGCTTTTCTTTTTGACCATCAGTCTCTTTTTTCATAAGATCCTTAACTTTCCTTCATACACAATATGTACTTCCGTAGGTTTACTTAATTTATAAATCCTTCACTCATATAAAAAAAAGCAGAATTGATTCTAGACAACTGTAGGAGATTCTTCTTCCTGAATAATCTGATAACACATCCCAAACATCATAACTTATAATAACGGGCTAAGGATGTTTACGTGACTTTGTGTGTGTGTGTGTGTGTGTGTGTGTGTGTGTGTGTGTGTGTGTGTGTGTGTGTGTGTGTGTGTGTGTGTGTGTGTGTGTGTGTGTGTGTGTGTGTGTGTGTGTGTGTGTGTGTGTGTGTGTGTGTGTGTGTGTGTGTGTGTGTGTGTGTGTGTGTGTGTGTGTGTGTGTGTGTGTGTGTGTGTGTGTGTGTGTGTGTGTGTGTGTGTGTGTGTGTGTGTGTGTGTGTGTGTGTGTGTGTGTGTGTGTGTGTGTGTGTGTGTGTGTGTGTGTGTGTGTGTGTGTGTGTGTGTGTGTGTGTGTGTGTGTGTGTGTGTGTGTGTGTGTGTGTGTGTGTGTGTGTGTGTGTGTGTGTGTGTGTGTGTGTGTGTGTGTGTGTGTGTGTGTGTGTGTGTGTGTGTGTGTGTGTGTGTGTGTGTGTGTGTGTGTGTGTGTGTGTGTGTGTGTGTGTGTGTGTGTGTGTGTGTGTGTGTGTGTGTGTGTGTGTGTGTGTGTGTGTGTGTGTGTGTGTGTGGTGTGTGTGTGTGTGTGTGTGTGTGTGTGTGTGTGTGTGTGTGTGTGTGTGTGTGTGTGTGTTACGAAATTCGTAGAGCACTTTCCAGCCAACATCCTGAGCTCAAATTTTGCACAGCGCATGCTACCCGCATGAAAGTCCAACACGCAAAGGCACGAGCAGATTCGTTGAGTGGATCCCTCAGAAACTGCGCGCCAAACGGATCCACTTTGCATTTGAGCCGCAAAATTGGGTTCGTAATTCCACTTTTTGCAGAGTCGTGGATGTTTATGCCAAGTAAATGTGCAAGCCATGAACTTAGGCCCAAAAAAGTGATCAAAAGTCCATTACTTTACAAAAACGGCGCCAAAAAGTAATGGTTGTGTAAATGGTCATTTTGCCATGCTTTTACCAGAACATTTGACGAGATATTTGCGCAATGATGTAGCTCACGGTGGCTGCTGTTCTTATTGCAACCGTCAAAACCATGGGAAAATCAAAAACCTATAAAAATTTGCGTTTGTTCTCCTGCAAAAAGTCTCACCCACGCGAAATCACCGATTTCACATAGAAAAGCTTTTGGAATGAGTATTGTTTACATTTTGTCCGTGATAGTCGGCAATGCTCGGTGAGTTCCAATGCCATTTTTATGCGAGAATAAGTAGGGCCTAGATAGTAAAGCGAGCCAGTGCGAGCCTCTGCGAAGCAGAGGTGATGCACTGGTTTAATATAACTTTGTCTGAGAGGCGATCCTTGCTTATCAGAATGCGGATCTTTACAAAACCTCCTGAAACTAATTGTGAAAGCTTCATAAAACTTCTGGTGTGATTGAAAGCATCGGAGATGCTAATTAGCATTCATTCTTTTTCAAGAATGACGGCTGATACCACATCCTTGTTCGATGTGATTCGGCTAAAACATTCCCGTGTTTGCTTCTAACGCGATCTTTTTATTCTTTTTCGTGGTTGTTCGCTAATCACTTTCCGTTTTCTTTTTCTATAGGGCAACGGACACGAACGCGATTTCGGTGACGATCCACGCGTTTTCATTCTGGACTTGTACAATCCGAGAATTTATCCGTGGGATCATAAAGCGTCAGAGGGCATCTCAAGATCAGTTCATGTTGGGTCTATGACATCCGATGCCGAATATTTAAGGTCATTTTCGTAGTATTTGCTGAAACATCAGTTTATTTGGTTAAGGCAGAGCATTTAGGCTGCTGAAATCCAATTTGTCCGCAGCTCTGACAGAATTCTCCGCCGATTTGGTAATCTTGAATGCAGGGACGGATAGCTTGGAAAATGACCCACTTGGTTGCTTAAATCTAAGTCCAAAGGTGAATCCCAAAAGGAGTTTTGCTGAATTATTTTTTAAATTCCATATTTTTAGTGCATAGTCCATCGAGATGAAGCGGTGTTCCAGCTCTGTCGACAAAAATCTATACCTATTGTTATGCTTACTAGTGGTGGATATTTGATGAAGAGTGCTGAAGTCATTGCAAAATCCATAAGAAATTTGCATGAAAAAGGTCTCATAGAGCTCAAAACTTGACCATTAATAAAGCTTTCAACTTCATTGTTTATTATATGCAGATGTACTGAAGTCCTACCAAAATCGCCTTGGTCTCATAATAATGTTCCAGGATATATCCATAGAGCTGATTATACCTCAAAGGTGCAAAGACAATTTCAGTTTTGTTCACTTTTTTTATAAACTTTTTTCCGGCAGGTATAAGACGCAGAAGAGACACCATTCTGTAGAGTTGTTTTCAACTTAGTTAGGTTTGCAGTATGGAGTGAATCTCCCTCAGGGCTCGGCACGAGGGCTTTGATGCAAAAAACAAAGTTCCCCTTGACTTTCGCGAACTTTTACGGAGTCCTTTTTGACCATAAACCATAAACGAAAACAAACCCTTAAACAACGAAACTTTGATAAGACGTGACCTAAGTTGTGTTTTTTCGGCCACAACAACGATAGCCCCTTTGCTTTTTCTCCTAAAAACGATATCCAGCTTGCTTATAAGCCGCTTGTGCTAAGCTCTGTCTTCCCTTCTTTCATTACCGTAAGATTACGGTACGAACTTTATAGAGATTGTTAGCCGTTAAGAGCCGCATTATTTCAGAAAGGAATCAAACAAATCAAAGATTTTTACACTACGCTAATAAAGTCGCTGATTTCGGATATGAGTTGCGCGCATCTCTGTTAAGCTTCGTGCATAAGCTAGTTCGGGACAGTAGCGGCTGCTCTTCCAATGTTCACTCTGTAAGAGGTTGTAATGGTATGATGCTTGAAAATTCTGCTGTATTTCCAGATTTTTTTTGGTTTTTTCGTAAAATGGCTCATTAAAGGCAGTGGGTCTCAAAACTTAACAACTCCAAATTTTAATGCGGTAGACGCCTTATAGCCCAAGTATGAAAACAGTGCAATCCCGAGTGCACAGCATGCCTTCCTTGCCGAGAAAATTGCTCTCAAACTTACATGCGCAGGCCGTTCTTACACATTTGGACGAGTTGGCCATTTCCTTCTCACCATTGAAGGCTGCCTGCTGCAATGCTATAACCATTGGGTCCTGCAACGATTCGGCGTCATCAGTCTTGCTGCACTCGTCCCAAAGGGGAAGGCACTGCAAAACGCTTGTTTTCGGCGTTTTCAAGCTCTCAAAAGTGGATTTTCGGAATCAGCGTATTGAATAATCCCAGGTAAGCGAAAATTTGACTATTCAAAGCTTCATAACAATTCACATAACTATCCAGCTAAGATTCTTTGAGAGAGGATAGTCTCAAGCCTCTATTTAAATATTGATTAGTCGAGATTTTCTGCTACCAAAAAATGACAGTCATAACCTTATATGGTTCAGACTTCTAAAAAATCGCTTTTTTGAATTTCTAGCTTTCTTCTCAGCCTGCAGTGAGTACAAAGGCGAATAATTTGGTGGCTGGATACATACAGCCTCTGGCTAGGTGGCGAACCACAATAGAGATTGTGACCTGCTGTTTCCGAATTTCTGCAGTCAAAACTGAGAAAATTTCCAGGCATTTGCGCGTGAAGGTCAAATTTTGGGCATTCCAGATAACTCGAATTTGGCCATCTATGGCCATGCAAATGGTTGGAAATTCAAATTTTGCTGTGCGGGTGGCGAATCTACACTTTAGACCTGACCTTCAGTTCATTTTTTGGAACATGATTTTTCGAAACGTTGTGGAAAAAATCTGACCAATTTTCTTTCCTTCACCATTTCATTATTAGAGAAATTATTTTTGAGAAAACAGAGTCAACCAACCGATTCTCCTTAATTTGCTCTTTCCAATGGTACCATATATACACACAAAAACTGATTTAAGCAATTCTACAAACCGCTAAAAACGACCGAACTTAATTTTTAGCAAACCTAGTAGTATCCAAAAACTGGCAAAACACATTAAGGCAAAAGACTTATTTACGACCAAACAGTTGCACATTTTCAGCACACCCTGTGTAATGACAGTGCATTTTGGTCAGTGTTTGTAATTGGGAGAATGGATTTACAGAACTCAAAAGTCCTTTTTCAAGGAAAAGTTCAAGGATAAGTTTTATGCCAAACTCAGCCCAAAGGGGGATAATATTGTGTAAGATACGTGCTGAGATTTTTGTTAAAGGCGCTTAGAATTGCTTTCCTGTGAACTCTCTACGAATACACAATTACGATTGAACACCTAATTTACGTCATTCCGGCACTTTCAGATATGAGAAAGAACTTCTCTGTGAAATGCGAATGTTGAAGTGTTGATAAGTGCATTCGCGAATACTTTCACTTGTTCGCGAAGTCATCATCCGCACTTAGTCCCGATTGGATGACTCAGTTATTTGAAAAGTAATACATAATTCGTCATTCTTATAATAATCCTGACAATGACAGCAATAATTGAATTTGGAACCTTGTTGATTTCGTAATAGCAGCCACATACCAAGGCTATCAATGGTTTGTAGCTTTTGAACATTTGAGCAAAGATCCATCTATATCTCTCCGTAATGATCCAATTTCTTTTGGAAAGAAGGCGCATTGTCATTTCGCATTAGCGGCATATTAGCACTGTATATATTACGCTTTTACGTGAACTAACTACGTGTTTCGGTATTAAGGTTTTTGAAAATCTACGGAAGATTAAAAGAAATTTACGCGTGCTAAGAAATGTTCGATCCGTACGATACTTAGCATTAGGTTTGCGTTGCGGAACTAAAGTCTTTTTTGTCTGAAGGATAGACTTCATTTGATACAAGCTTGGTTTTGTTTTGACAATTCAGTACAAAACCTCTAATAAACTACAGTAGTATCTACAGATTAATCAGAAACACTAAATCGTTTTTATGACGATATCTCGGGTTCACTTACAAAGTAGAGAAGAAGATAGAAAGGGTGAAGCTGCATCGTTAATCATATAAAAACAAAAATGCCTTTGTTTTTTGATAGATTCGAGTTATAGACTGCTCTGCTTCGCAAAATTCGGTATAGCATACAGTTTACCGTATAACAATTTTTGTGCTTGATTTACTCGTTAACATTTCTCTTTTTGATAAAGACCTACTAAATGATTTTGATACTTATTTTCCAATGATGAATCTACGATGAAGGAATTAATTGTCAACGCTTATATTGCAAAATTTTTTCAGCCTAGAGGTCTACAAAAAGAGGTTCTCAAAAAACTCTTTGCGACACCTCAGATTTGTTACTGAAAATTTAACAAAGTTTTTAAATATTGTTGTTTGGCTTAACTACACTTCTTGCGTACAAAATCTGATGGAAGCATTTATTCTTCCCAACCAAACAAAATAAATGAATGAACGAAAGACAAGCAAAGACCCGTAAAATATGAAAGAACAAATGAAAGACTAACAATACCCTGTGAATACTACACGAACATATGCTAACACTTGAAGCACCTACAAACATCACAGCACAAATAATTAGCGTGAATATAAAAATATGTATATTTTTCTCGTTACACTGCACCATTCTGATAGTTTCGATAGTGTCTGGACAGTGCCGTAGCTCTTTGTGTTCGGGGCAGTACGGAATGACATCCGACCGTGACCGACAGTGATGCTCGTTCGTAGCGCCAGTATCCGGTATCCAAATCACAAGAGATCCGCTTTAGCACTGCTACCTAGAAGAAGTCGGATAAGGCTTTGGGGTAAAGATATGATTTGAAGGAAGAAAGCTTACCTCTCTTTTTATAGGTAGGCAAAATGCGCCGCTGGCTCCTCGACTGCGTCTGCATAGACAAACTGCTTCAGAGATCATTTTCGGTTCTCTAGTCTCGTCAAAATCTACCCTTAAAATCTCAAGATTTGCTAGAAAACTTTAATATGAGGTTAGTCTGCATTTTTTCATAAAGTACACACTAACTGATAAGTTGGAATGCTGGGAAGCTGAAGATTTTTATCCTGACCTCAAAGAATCACCTTGTCAACTTCGAATTCTTGGAGTAAGTTGCAAGATGTGCGACTATTCCCTACAAACCCAGACAACAATAATATGTCACGAAATTTCCATCTCTCTAATTATTACATTTTTTGCTTCAACATATAGAGAAACATCGTCCACTAATCTCCTATTTTCTTACGACTAGAATTCAAAAATACAAGATAGAGGGACTAAATAGTAAGCGAATGCCTCACCTGGATTCCCACGGACACATTGCCCTTTGCATTACTGTAGTGTCGCCCTCTGCTCTAGGTGATTCGCTACAAATGGCCGGTTCCGTTGACGGCGGGGTCCATTCTTCGTCTACCTCTCCGCCACCACCATCGAGCGATTCGCGCATCCATGCGGCCAGATCATCTCTCTGAAACGGGCGACTTGAATATAGACTGATAATAAGGTCATGAACATCGTCTATGATGTTGTTGTGACAGTTTCGCGACAGAAATTGTGCTGTGCCGTGTCAGGCAGTGAAAAGGAAAGTGATAATATTGTGCGGTTCGATACTCAGCTTAGAATTTTCAAATAATTTAAGAAAGTCAAAAAATTCAAAAATGGGCTATGCTCTCGTTTTTACAAGATTTTACGGAAGAGGTGCTTTGTGGCAACGATTACGATGTTATCAGAACATTTTGTAAGCAGTGCTTCATTGAAAAACAAGACGACAAAGTCATTATTCAATTCGTTGGATTGTAACCTTGGCAAAGACCCTGCTGCAAAATAACATCAAATTTGCGTTGATGGAGGAGTATTCTTGAGATTGGGTTGATATTGTATAGTTTGAGTTCAAAATTGATAGTCTGTTTCGGATACTGCAGTACACTCTCAGCCAAAGTACTTCAAGGTTTGCCGCAGATGCTGGTAAACTGTCGTCAGAAATTTTATTATTGACATGAAAAGATCACTTCATGATTTTTAGTGGATACTGATGACTTCCATCAATTTGGATATAATATCAGCAAATTTTTTGAGTCCCCTGCAACACAGAAAAAGCTGGGGTTTTTATGTTGCCTTCTCATTTTTATTGGTGTCATTTTGATCAGCGCAGTATAAGACGGTGATGTGGTAGCTAATACACTGATCAGACAGAATTTGCTATATTCTCCAGATATCCAAATCTTACAACTTTTTTTCAAAATGCTTGAGATAAGAAAATAAATTGCAACATTCGCCTTGATCGCGCGCGTTCAACATGAAAGAAAAGCGAAAAGAGACAGAGTCATCGAGGTTTTTTGGGTCAATTAAGATTCGCCAATTTGTATTCGTCAATTCAAGAGCCATTACGGGACAGTGCAACAAGAATACTTTGCAAAAAGTGATGGCGGTGAAAATCGTGAAAGGGATGTCAGGTCGCGCTTTTTCGCTTGCAATCAAATGCGACGCTTGAATACGGAAGCATCTAATTACGAAAGTTTTTTGCTTAGCTTGATAAAAAAGAAAATAGCTAGAAAGGGTCTATCCTAGTAATCCCACGGTTAATATATTGTTAATCCATTGCCGACAATATTTTGCGCGTAAACCTGAACAAGGTGCTATTTGAGGCTATTTTTCACGCGCAACTCGCGCGCAAGTTATTGGCAACCTCAAACATGACATTTGTTTTCGTGCAAATGTTGTCCTCATTTCAAGGGCACCATATTAACAATCAAATCTATCACGCTGTAAATGGTGAAAAAAGAGTGGGAGAATGCAGGAACCACTTATGGGTGGATTTGTGAAATGAAATCTGAGCATTTACCAGTGAGGGTGGCTCAACACAAAGTCGATGCGGTTTGTGCAGATGTCGCTGACGATGAATCTTTGCCAGACTTGGGTACTGCTGCAGGTGAAGCAGTACGGTGACCAGCAGGGTCAGGAATCTCATTTAATGGCGGTAATGCGCCTTCGCATGTGACTGACCCAGTGCCCCACTGCGACCGCCCCCTGTAATCAGAAACTTGTCCGGTGATCTGACAAACGGTAGAAACGGCCTTTTTTGTCGAATCCCGTGGAAAATTTATAGAAAAGAATGGCTTGCGTTAGCCGGGAGAGAATAAAAACAATCGTTGTCAATTCAGCCTAATAATTATGTGTCATAATGAACTCTCAGGCTTAGCGATTATGAGACAATCCAGAAACGAATTGGCTTTGCATATTACCTTTCTTTCATTGATTTGGGAATTTACACTAGTCGGGATATAGCCTAGAATTACAATCTTTCATTTCTCTCCCAATGATAGATCGTGAAGAGAAAACCTGAAAAGTTGAGCTATCATCATCGCTAATCGTAAGATGGCTACATTTTACATTTTTTTCTAGCCACATGGCTACATTTTCCCTGACTTTGATATTTTTTGAACAACCAGTTTTTCTACGACTTTGTAAGATTTCAAACTGCTTCTCAAACTTTCGCTAAGATTGAGATCTCGGATTGTCGAAAATGAAATCATACTTACATTACCTAACCGTTGACCCTTAAATGCTAGTGATTTGCGTTCGTATCAAAATCATGTGCAAAAGGAGGATTTCTACCTTCTTTCTTTCTACAGCCCTGATGTACCTTCTGGGAAATCTGGGGGACTCCATTTCGCGCAAAACCATTGATCAACTTGCCATTACTATAACGTCGAGACATTTATAGTTTCGGCCCCATTATTGAACAAGTTCCATACCCTGCTCATCCTCTAAAAAAGGGCTGATTAATGGAGATCATACCTTCGATACATAGAGCCACATACTCTGGTAACCTTCACTTTGAGGGCTATGAGGGGACACAACCTTCACCTGGGAAAAAAACAGAAGTCATCCGGGGCGAAGCCCCGGATGTTATAATCCTGACTTTATCGGAAGAATGTGATGAACCAAATATAGGAAAGAATATCTGAAGAATGTCTCAGCGAAACCGAGAAATTGCTTTTTTGAGGCCTTTTTTACGCTGAAAAGAGAATTTCTGTGAAAATTTCCTCAGAATTCAGGACAACGTTCCTCAGTTAGTTAGCCTCTTACTTGACCAAAAATGAGTTTCAAAAGTTTGGAAAGCTGTTGGAGTTGAATTAAAATGAGAAACTGCGCTCAATTGTATGTAGAGAGTCGCGCACGGAAATGCTGGTCTATCTCGTTAGTAAGTGACTTTTAAAGCTTGGGACGTTGTCAGCTCTCCTCGTCGTGTAATGACGGTCAGAATGATATATAATATTACAGGGTTTCGTTGAGACCCCGACGAGATCTACGACCAGAGCCAAATGCCCCGTCGGCTCTGGTCTGTCTCCGCTGCTCGTCTGCGTCTCCGCGCGCTGCGCGCTACCTCGCTACCCCAAACGCGGGGCGCGGGGCATTTGGCTCTGGTACCCTTTTCTTCGCTGTTTCGAACCCAATTTTAGCAAGCTATATATCATTTTGAAGCTCTTGATCTCTATTTTCACGCTGACAACGTCCCAAAATCACATTTCTTGATTTGAACGAGAAATCCGGCAAAAACCTTGTTTTCGAAAATCTCTTGTTTCTCTTCTAGTTTACCTCTTTTTACCCCGTTTTTTCGTGCATTCTATAGATCTTGCTTCTGTTCATAATGCAGACAACCACCCAGCCTTTATCTCTTCGATTATTGAGGATTTTTTTGCGAAAAATCGTAAACAGTGCGTTTTTCTTTACCTTGTTCTGTTTCAGTGCTTTCGCATCGATTTTTTTCCAGCTTGGGCGATTGTTCCTCAGAACAATAAGCGCAACAATCCAGACAACGTCCCAGGAAACAGGAACGTCAATGCGGGGGTAAAAATTCAAAGGACGCATCAAAAATCAAAACCCCGTGTTGCGAATTGCTGGTCCTGGAGCGAAAACTTGCATTTTGAAAAGCCGCCAAATGAAAGATTACAAGCCTCATTGCAGCTTTTTATCCTATTTTCAGCAGTTTCTTTTGCTTTTTGTATCTGTTTTATGTCATTTTCTCTTCTCTGATCATCTTTAAACAACCTTCACTATTTATGACGTCAGATGTCCAAACAACCTTCACTTTTGACGCCCTGTCTCTAGACTATCGAAGGTATGATGGAGATCCTCTAAGACAAGAGTAGATGATGCGACGGCTGGCAGGGATTTTGAATAGAGAGAAATCTCCGTGTGGTTTTCTTCCGTAGTTTGATTAGACTCATTCTTGAAATAGACCACACATACAACACTGTATTGCTTCTTAATTATGGAAATGGTTACCTTGTATCAATCTTTGACTAGCGTTAGTCAGAACATTATATTTCTATCGTTTTATTAGGTAAAATAACCTTTTCTACAACTGCTGCAAGCGGATCTGCACAGCAAAAAATGAAGCAACTTGCTCTTTACATTCAGGTAAATATGTTCAATCAAATGTCCATGAAGCACTGTATCGAAGGGAATTTGTAAGTTTTAGTTATGAGCTTGAGATAGGACTTTCTTGAGTTTTGGAATCCATGATAACCTCAAAGCTGCAAAAAATTAACCCATTTCAATTACTTTTCTGTTATTTGATTAAACTGTTTTTTACAACAAATATGTGCGTCATTTATCATGTTGCAGTATGAGTGGATTAGAAAAAACGGTAATAGGATTCCCAAAGAGTCCAGTATAACCTTTACAAGTTTATCTAACAGATAAAGTTCCCCAGTTTACCGTATTATCTGGACCTGTAGTGTTCATGAAAAAGAAACTCAAAGAGCAATTATTGTAAGAGCATAGCGAAAACGGTATACATAGAACGAGAAGGAGAATTGGTATTGAACTAGAAATGAATTTTGCCCTGAATGAGAATCAAGAGCGGTATAACAACACCTTAAACAAAGCTCGTCTTTTTCACTTACAAGAAAAGTCCACGAAGTCGAAGAGGATGGTAACCATACTGCATACCACAGTGAGAGCTAGCAACACTGATTCCAAATTTGTTTTTTCTATCTGCAGCTTCCGGAAGAAAAAAGTTAAGAAAAATAAATTAGAGGCCGGGATAAAATCAATCGCTACTACCTCTCTAGAACTTGTATAAAGCAGGCAAAAGTATCAAGCAGTGGCGTACCGAGGGAGGGGGGCGCCCCCCCCCCCCCCGAGAATGGGTCGCGAAATTTTTGAAAGTTACTTATATGTGTCATAAAAATGTGCAAAAGACTTATTTGTACTTGTAAGTAATTAAAATAATTTTTAAAATTTTTTAAAAATTCAATTTAGCCTTATAAAAAATTTTTTTTCGGGGGCGTGGCTGACGCTACGCCCCCTTTTTCTAAAATTTTGGGGTTGTGGGCCCACGAAAATTTTGAGAGGCGTACCAAAAACTTTTTCTAGGTGCGTGGCTAACGCCACGCACCATCATTGAAAAAAATTTTTCTCGCGCCCCCCCCGAGCCGAAATCCTGGGTACGCCACTGGTATCAAGATATAATACTTTATACAGGAAAGCCTTGTGTCTGATATATCAACACTTTACATTGTTCGATTTGACTTCTACAAAGGCAACAAATGATTTTGTAACCGCTATTAGTTTATTTTTTCGCTTCAAATGCTCAGAACTTCTTTCCCAAAAGTGCTGCATAAGGAAAGGAGTTCATGCGATTTCTTTGCCGCGACCTCCCCTAACGAAACAAACAGTTACGAATCTATTGCATGCCAATCATCTTACATTTCGATCGTATAGTTTTCCAGCACGACTAATCGTGACTAACTATCACAGTCGAAATACAAGAAGATCTGCAATGAACTCACACTTGTCTTGTAGCGACTGAAAAGCGACGATCAAATCGCGTGGACTCTGCCCGAGACCTAAGACTTTGCGTAGTAATTTTTGTGGGATTACGACCCGCGTGGCAGAATCATATCTCAGAGTTGACTTTCCCAGTCAAGCACACAGCATAAACTTGTAATGAATGCTATGGCCCGTACTAAAGCTGCTTTGGTCGATCTCAACCGAACAAAGCCTCAGTTAAACATTCGACGAGTCAGCTCTGCCTTAGTGGAGACATTGATTGATAATTTCAAAGTCTCATCAAAATTGGGTAGTGCGGATCTCCACAGATTCTGTTAGGGGACGCCCTGAACAGATGATCCCCTCAAGTTCGACTCGAGGGTCTATGCCGAGAAATTTGCCCTTAAAGTGTCCCGCAAAGCAAGTTTGGCCCTCACGACGGACGCTCCCGGTTTCTCCCCCCCCCCCCCTTAGCACTTCAACATATCCCTCCATCTGGCGTCCACCTCCATAGTGTGGCTGCCAATGTGGCGAATGCTAGGTTGAGAAGGCACAACTTGTCCGCGTTGCTTCCACGGAGCTTTCGAAAAACGGGGTTTTTGTACATTTTATGTTATTTTCAACGCTTTGAGTTAGACAGTGACGAAAAGTCTTGCGATATGCAAAAACCTCGAAAACCAAATTTTGGTGATACACCGCCTTTGACCATCCTGATAATATAGCGGCGTAAAGCTCGTAAGTCACAGCCATACCCCATTCTTTGATATGATAGGCCCTGACCCCCACCCCCTCTTTTTTATTGCCGGGGACGTTTGCACGGGTTCACTGACGTACAAGAAACTGAGTTTGTCGCCTAACGCCCTACACCCGACTGGTAGTGGAGGCGGAGATGTGGCCGCTTTTGTTAGATTTGTTAAAAACAATGTCCGAGCAAAAGGTCGATTTTGGGATTTGGTGCCTACCCGGGCTTTTTCGCTGTGCTGAATCCGAGAATCTACGCTGTAGAGCGCGAAAACGGTTAAAAGGGCTGTAATGCATGAGGGGAGTCAAAAGGTGGGCGGAATCTTCCCCACATGCGTTCAGGCTCCCAGCTTCCGGAGCAATCTTCTCGATGTTACGCGTTCGCATTTGGCGGTGGTGGTGTCGAGTGGACAGCGGAATCGAAATGATCGTTCCGAAAGCTGGAAA